CTTCAAGTGTGTAAAGAATTGAAAAGTGTTGGTTTAAAAGTATAACCAAAACCTCCTCTATTAACAATCAGCTAAAATAAGCAGAGATGGGAAGCTGACTTAGGACAGGTAGTTTTCATTGATTTTCAGCTACTGTATGGTGAGAATTAACATACGTAATTGCTGGTGTTAACAGTAAAAGTGTCTCTGGCCTCTATTTAAAGATATGGAAGTTTATATAGGGGTTGAGGAAGGGGTGTGGTTTGGATGAGAAACTGTGTCATAGCTTCCCCAATTTCTTTTTTTTCTCTTTAATTTCTACAATTTGGATTGTTGCTCAAAACTTTTATCTTGCTTCCTCCCCTGTCTCCTCCTCCTGTATACTCTCCTTTCCTTTTCTCTCCCCTCCTCCCGTCTCCTCTCCTCTCTATTGTAAATATCTAATGCTCCTTACAATGGCAGTGAGGGCAGTGGAGGAGGGAGGCCATAGACTGTCTATTGAAGTTTGTGCTCATAGTTCCTCTGTGCAGTCGCAGCTGTGACCACAGGGAGGTGAGATAAAAATGGATTGCAAGAGATGCGTGTGTATGCCTGTGTGTGCGCGCTACACCCAGATGCAAAAAGTCTTTCCTCCACTCTTTGCACGGTGCACCTACACTTTGTATGTGGGTTGAGGGTTTCAGTCACTGTCATGCTGTAGTTTACCGTTTTCAACATCTGCCTGTTGTTTTTTGAACATGTCTAACACATTCAGTTATAAAGATAGCTATAAAGATAATTATAAAGATAGGTATTATAAAGATAGCAGCCATGATGTCCGTGTATGCAATCCTACTCTGCTACTTTTGTGTTCAAACCTGCTTTCTAAAAAGAAAACAAGTTTTGAGTAAACTTAAAATCTTTATTAAAAGTTGTAGCAGACTTTTCATCAATCCTCTGCCATCATCATTTTAGATAAAGTTAGTATATGTAAGGTACATGATATTAAACTTGGGTCAAAGATGATGAAAATCATAAAATTATAGAAGCGCTTTGTGGTTGTTGCACATTTAGCCATAGAAAGATAAAGCTGGTAGGCTCTGAATGGCATCTTATGGTTGTGTGCACATTACTTCACTGGTTACTACAGCCAGTAGACTGAACATCCGGCTCTTCTTACTGATTCCAAAAATACTCCAACACCATTTGAAATTAACAAGAGCACTGAGCCAATCCAGTTTTAAAAAAACAATACCAGCCATGCTTAAACTATAAAAACGTAGACATTGACCAGTATGGTCAGTTCTTGGCCTACTGTACTGTAAGTAACACATAATAATTAAAATCATCCACGTAAACACACAGAAAAAAAAACACAGATATGCACAACTACAACATTCACAATTTGATTCTCCCCAGATATCTTTTGCCACAGAGTTAAACTAAATGGAGACATACAACTTGTGTTTATCAGAAAGGCAGTGTTAGAGTGTTAGATTATTGTCAGAACAACCTTTTTTACACTTCCCCTTTTTCCTTCCTGTCTGCACTCTTTAGCACATTGTGTCATTGCACAGTGTAACACAGTCAGGCTTTATGCATCCTCTCTACTGACAATACAGTTTACATGAAGCCATATCTTTCAGTTTTGCTTAAGAAAAACATTTTATATTGCTGCCAAATCAATCAAATCTCTACAGTGAGCTACAAGGCCCCATGCTGTGTTTCTTAATCAACAAAGTCAGCCCTCCACCTCCAGAGTTTCACAACATGTCCGTGCTGTGTGTGGTGGTGAAACAACTAAAAACCACTGGAGGGCAGTGTGGCTTCACGTTGCACCACAGCCGTTCCCCTTTTTCACACACGTCTCTCTCTTCACTTGTTTTTTGGGAATAGCCAAGTGGCTGAATGCATTTTATACACACGCAAACACGTGTACACACACATACACACCCGCTCAGTGTTGCGATTTGGACTCCTTTTGGTTCCTCTCTGCCGATGACTGGCAGGTTCTTAACGAGAGCAGCCTAGAGCGTTTGCCCTCCAGGCCTGTACATCAACCATCAACATGCAACGCACGCACGCACACACACACACACTCGCGCATGCATGCTCACTCCCATATTCACACACACACACACACACACACACACACACACACACACACACATACACACACACACTCCTCTCTCTCTCCCTCTCTCTCTCTCCAGACTTTCTCTGTCCCATTTCTCAGGCTCAATCAGTTTGTCCATTGGTGAGGGAGTGTTTGACAGTCACTGGGAGACGGTTGGGGTTTAGCAGTATTATTATGTTTCCATGAAGTGGCCTTATCCAGCACAGAAGGAATGTCAGCTACACCATTGTTCAATAGGTTCAACACAAACACATTACAACACCACACAAGACTACTAAGGGCTAGTTGGAGTTACACGTACATAGATGTGTGAGTCGGTGTGTAGTTATTGTGGGCCACAATGATAAGACGGCATAGCTGGGGAAGTGAAGATGGAAACCCGGAGCAGCATGCTTTCTCTCCCCCTCCACCCTTTCATGATTCATCCCTCCTCTCACCTCTGTTCACTCTCTTTTTTTTTCTGCAGAGGAGAAAAAACCCAATTAAAATACTATGTGGATGGATACGATGAAGAAAGACATACCTCCTCCATGACATTCTCTCTACCCCCCGTGTAGTGACAGATCTGGTGCATTCAAACCGAGGTGAAAAAATGTGCAGGCTCCCACCCTCCTGCTGCCATTAAATGTTGATGTATAATATCAAAAATATATATATGTACACCACATGAGGATGAATGTATAAATCAAAATCTATCACAGATTCACCCCACATACATTCATGCGCTATATGTTTGTATGTGGTTGAGGGAGACAGAGATTCCCATATGCCAAACAAATACCTGATGCAGCAGGAGGTGTAGGATGGATCCATTTTTTACATTTCACACACACAAGCACACACGCACGCACGCACACACACAGCTGGATTCATGTCTTCCATGTATATCTCTCTCCTACCCCTCTTCCCTTCTTTCGCTCTTGTTTTCCTCTCTTCCTGACCCAACATCCCTCCGTCCCAGGAGATCCTGCTTTCTGCTGCCAGACTAGGCCTGTATACTGCACACACACACACACACACACACACACACACACACACACACACACACACACACACACACACACACACACACACACACACACACACACACACACAGGCTCTGTCTCTCTGTGGACACATGAACTGCCAGTCAATCCAGCAGCAGCTCTGTATAGACCTCACTGCCTCTCTGTTGTGGGGGTCAGGAGATGGAGATAAGTGTGTGTGTGTGTGTCTGTGTGTGTGTGTGTGTGTGTCTGTGTGTGTGTGTGTGTGTGTGTGTGTGTGTGTGTGGATAGAGAGAGAGAGAGAGAGAGAGACACAGGGTCAAGGGGCTGGAGGACTCCTCTATTCAGGTCTACTAAATACTGTATGCTGCTGATATTTACCTGCTTCAATATTACAACAATGCCCCTCAGGAGTGTGTGTTTACATCCCCAGCTGAAGGTGAAAAAACTCCACAGCTCGACTCTAATCTCAGTCAGCAGCAGCACAGGTTTACAAACATCCCTATTAAACACCCCCCATCCCCACCCCACCCTGTGAAGACATGCTGAAGGGACTCGGTTAACTGCAGTAAACAGCGAGCCCTCAGTGAGAAAGTCCAGAGAGACAGCAGTAACACCAGTCCCACGCCCACACATACACTCACACAAATCCAGTTCTGGGCTTTGAGTGGCCATTTAAAAATCTGGACGGCAGTTCACTGACCCAGCACTAACGAGGCATCTAGCCCAGCCTTCGAGGAGTAGCGCCTCTTATCTAGTGACCACACAGCGCTGGCTATCTCCTGACCGTGTTTGACCACTGCTTAAACTGATTAGCCCGTCATCCAGTCAAGTCTATGTTACAGTTACAGTAAGCAGAGATACACTGATGTGCATGCAAAACAATTTCTGGCTGCAACTGCGGAATGTGAGGTATCTTTTTGTGTGTGTGCCTGCCAGTATGATACGATAGCAGTACAGAAATGCCACACTAGCACCCTGAGAGGCAAACAATAGCACAGTGGCTCCGCTACTATCTGTCCACTTGAATCGGACAAATGGTCAGTGGTGGAGAGATGGCAGAGTGGACGTGTGATGGCCAAAATGTCAGGGGCTGGGGATTCACCCGTTTAATGAGAATCTATGGCCTGGACTGATGAAGGGCCTGACTGAGAGGCTTTGACAAGTCCTAATGCTCACATGTATAAATGATGTGGGTGGGTGGAGGGGGGTGTCCTGGTAGGATGTGGTTGTGTGGAATCAATCCTCAGAGAACATGGGTGGCGTGTAAGAACAGGCCAGAGACTGAATAAAAAGGCCAAGGACACACACCACGACAGAATCCACTCAGAGAAGTGAGAGGAGCAAACATCAGTCAAAAACTGACGGAAATCAGCAGGTCGCTATTTTGGGAAATATCCTTATTCACTTTCTAGCAGAGATTTAACCAGATGAGATACCACTTTTACATCTGTCCATTTAATTTAAGGCTACAGCTGGTTAGCTTAGCTTAGAACAAAGAATGGAAACAGGCGAGGCAGCTAGCTCAGGTCCGCCCAAGAGCAACAAAACCCTGCCAGCACCTCTAAAGCTCACTAGTTAACATGTTATATTTCATTTCTTTGGTCCATATAAAAATAGAGGAGTAAAAGTGGTCCAGTATACAACCCCCCACAAAATGGCAAAATAATGTTTTTACACTTCACTGTTTGTATGAATTCAAGATAAAATGTGCTAATCAGTGAGTTTTAGAAATGCTGGTAGGCTGAATTTGTTACCATTGGAGGGAGCCAGGCTGGCTGTTTCCCCTGTTTCCAGTATTTGTGCTAAGCTAAGCTAACCAGCTACTGGCTCCAACTTCATATTTACAGCAGAAATGTGAAAGTTGTACCAATCTTCACATCTGACACTCGGCAAGAAAGCAAAGTATATTTCCCAAAATGGCGAACGATTTCTTTAAGGACAAAGTAAATTTCAAGGTATGAAATTGAAGTGAGAAGTGCATAAAAATGTAAATTGTAGTTTTATTTTGATTTGTGTTGATTGAAGTGGCACATTTGTACTCCCCTGTGTGACGGCTATTCAAAGGGCTACACATCTGAAACAACAATCCAAAAAAAGTACATACACACACACACACACACACACACACACGCACACACACACAGCCTTTGTTATGTTGAGAGCGTTTGTCTCTGTACGGCTCCAGCAGAGAGGGGTTAAAATCCGATTGAGTCGATATCACTGGAGAATAACACATTCAACACGCAGTCTGAGTGTGTGTGCGGCTGAGTGCTTGTGTATGCGACTGCGTGTGTGTTTGTGTGAGCAACATGGAGCCTAGGGACTTCCTCCCTCTCCGTTTGCAGCCCTCAGTTGAAATAGAATTGAATAGTCTGAATCCTCAATGGTAAATGTTCACAAAGTCAATACCAACTGTTAAGTCTCCCCTGCATTGGGGTTAAGGGCATTACCATTTCTGAGACTTCAGGAAAGCACACACACACACACACACACACACACACACACACACACACACACAAACACATACAGACAGTGAAGGCATACTCACCAGATGCCCCATGAGATGATAAAATATTTTTGAGTCTTTTACAAAATGCTTACTATACATTCTGCTTAAAAATTCCCTTTCACTGTAACATATTCATCGAAGGCTTATTTTTGTTCACTAATCTCTGAACAATGATCCTGGTAGGCATTGTTAAAGTGACATCAGTGCCTGAGGGACAGCGGTTTCACTGATCTGACTAAGCACCAAATTCTGTTCAATTCAAGACGGTTTAAACACACAGAGGAGAAAAGGAATTGTATTAATATGAACTGCACGATATACATAATCATAAATAAGCGTTAGGGTTTAATACAGAATATTGGAGTATGGCTGAGTGTTTCACTCGGTCGGAGCTCCTCCCAAAGAATAAAACAATACATTCAGTTTAATTTGCCAGTTGTGTTAATTATGCAGGTTATAACAGTTTAGGGATGTAGGGAACAATATGAATGTTGTGTAACTGTGTGGGAAGATACAGTGGTTTGTTCTGATGAGTGCTTAAGGGATAGGCCTGTGATAATCTACATTTTTGACATTGTCAACAGATCCCGAAAAAAGAACAAAGTCAACAATGTGTTAGTTTGTCTCCCAGTACTTTTTGGCTTTTTCTCAGCCCCAAGCCCATTTGTCATTACTTAAGCAACCCTGTCTGCTAAAGATTATGCTTATCCTTCTCTATACAACTAAACTGCACCAGCAAAATACATTTTGTAGGAAAGGTAATTGTGACCGGATTATGTTTTCTGTAAACGTAACGAGGATATGTTGTTAATTTACGTTGCAAATACTTAGGTACTAAATATATCAAATCAAATTTAATACAGAAAAAGTTCACAGTGAACACATGCTTATTTACATTTAACCAAAACCAGGATCTTTCCCTGACCTTAACCAAAATTCCCACGCTGTCTAAACCAAACGATAGACGGGACTCTGGATGGTCATGTGCTTCATACGCCCGCCATCCAACCCAACTGCTTACTGAGGGCTCTGCTGCTTTTGCTGCTTGTAGCACTTCAGTCACTCAAAAAATATGTTGCCTCTGAACATAATCCAGACAGCAATTACATTTCCTACACAACATATTTGCAGTTTATTTACTTTTTAATAGGATGAATTTATTGTTGGTTTTGGCCTTTTCGTGGGATAGAATTTACTTATCCTGTGAGTGTACCGTAGGTGTGTTGGCAAATGAATGCAAACACACTTTTGGCCAGGTCTGAAGGTCTTAGTAATGACCTTAAATTGAAGGCTCTATGCATTTTTGCAAGCCTTCAAACAGTATCCAGTTTCTCTTTAGTTCAGGTCAGGTGCAGGTTAGTACAGTATGTGGTGGTGTTCACACAGAGCTTCTGTGTAGAACCATGATAAGTTAGTTTGAGCAAATTTGCTACCCAGTGTGGTAGCTAGCTTTACGAGTGGTGCAGTCTCTAATTTGTCCGGCTGGTCATTAATGGTGGGCAAACGTGGACTTTTTTTTTTTTTTTACCACGGAACAGTGTCTCATTTGAACAGAGAGCCATAAAACCCCAGGCTCTGTCACTCAGTGTCATTTAAACCAGGACTGATTGGAACTATCTCTGGCCTTTGCTTTCCCACCTTCCTCCCCGCTTGCGTTCTTTCCTGGTCGGTTCATGAATAATGAATGAGGATATATGCAGGCTAGAGCTCAGATATTAATGGAGCTGAAAAACAGAGGGAGAACCATCCTTTGTGCTGCCAGCCATTGCTTCCCTACCCTCCCGAAGCTGCTCCTGCCCGGTCGCCCTCCTTTTTTTATTTTTTTACTTTCTTATTCTTCCTACCTTCTGCTGCCAGTGGGCCCAGATGAGATAATACTCAGTTTCTCTTTCCCTCTTGCCTAGAGATATTCGCTTCTCTCCTGGCTGTCACATTGAGGGCAAGGGTGGACAGTGACTTTGAAATGAGAGGGGCTAACTTTCAAATTATAAAAAAAAGGAGACAAAACTGGGGAAGATAAATGAAAAGTTGACTTGGCTAGATATGCAAGGTGGCTATTGTCTGTCCGTTAGACCAGCTCTCTGTCATTCAAGGGCATGGCAGTGAGCATCCTCCTTTGTTTACCCCCATCTTGTCTTTCTTCCAGCCCTTCAATGATCTGTCAGTTCTGGCCAGAGAAGTCCCGGCCAAACTGTGGCAGTCAAGGGCGAGAGGTACAGTGCAGTCGGGTGGAGGGCAGCTGACTGAACACTGGCCTCAGCACATATTTCTACTGAAGTCTTATCCCAATATTTCAAACTTCAAATTCATTGATAGTAATGATTTAATTTGATGATATATTGTAAAAAAAAAAAAAAACAAAAAAAAGCTCAACTGTTTTGCACTCTATCACACAGACCAACCAACAAAGGCTTGCTGACACTGTACATGTGGCATGAGGGGGCTGGCAGTCAGTGAAGTCTGGCCCCGGGCTGGCAGAGTCGCTGCCCATCCTTGGATGACTCGCCCAACTAGGCCAGAGGGCACAGATAATGGGCAGAGTCTTCTAACCCTTTATTTGTGCCAGAATGTCACCACATTCAACAATGTTACATCCACACCTTATATGGTCAAACAGACAAAAAAAATCATTATTCAGTGGTCCAGAGAACTGTGACTTGGGCACTGATGGGGAGGTGGGGTAGACAGGCCAGATCAGGACGCCCTCAACCTCTGACCCAGAGCATTATCATCTTCTATGTCTCCTGTGGGTTGCCTCTTATCTCTCGTCCCTCAAATATCTAATGACCCTTTTATCTGAGTTTTTTTTTTTTAAATCATAATCTGGCTCATTTTACTGATCAGCTGCTGGAACCTCCATCTAACTCATTGTAAAGTAATATCTGCATTTTCTATCTTAGAAAGTATTGCTTTACACATTTACTTTTGAAACCATGTGAAACAATATCCCTAAAGCCTTCATGTGGCCCAGACACTTCACAAATATGGCACATTTGAACATGTCAGTGGAGTCACTGAGCCTCTCCGTTGAGCAAAGAGTCAAAATAGCTTCTATAGCAGTACATAATGGAAAGGGGGGGGAGGGATTGCAAAATCTTTAAAACATTGGTCAACGGATCCAATTACTCTCTCTGTCACACATTTCATCAATATATTCATATATTCTCACAGTTATGGCTTTTTTTCATGCACGCACTTTGCACAGTTTTAAGTTTGCACAACTTGCACAACTTGTTAATGGGACTTGCAAGTTGGCAGCACTGTTTTGCTGTCCACGTACTCCAAAGACTCAAATAAAATATATTTCTACCATGAAGCAAGGTTTTGATCTTGGAAGTGAAGCACAGTGTCAGTGAAATACCGTTAAAAAGGAGTATAGTTCAAAAAGTTTAAAATTTAACTTTTTGTGCTTGCTTGGGTGAGCGTTTCAGCTAATTACGCACAAATCCCTCACGCTCACAGCTCCAATCCACCGGCACCGCTGTCTCGGCAGAGGACAAAGAAAACAAAGGAGACTGACAAACAAACAGTGAGTGAAAAAAAAAATATAAAAGAGAGGAAGCTTTCTTTCCATATAGCAGCTGAGCTGAGGCGACAGTGGCGTTTAATCAGTTGGTTTTTCCAGTGCCGTCAGCGTGAGCAGCCTCGGCGGTGCAGCCCTCTGATCAGCGCTGGGAGAGGAGCTCCCTGCCGAGCTGCTGCCGCCCCTGAACCACAGGTCAGTCCTTGGTGAGTAGGTTTCATTCTGCTGTCGCCTTCATAGTACCATCTCCTTCTCTCATTAAGATACAGCATGTGTCTGTGTTAGTGTATGTGTGTGTGTGTGTGTGTGTGTGTGTGTGTGTGTGTATGTGCACATGCATGTATTTATGGGCTTGTGTTTGTTTCTCTCTCTCTGTCTGTGTGTGTGTGTGTGTGTGTGTGTGTGTGTGTGTTGGAGTAAATGCACCCCAGGACTAGCCTAAAGGGGATGTGGATTCCCGGCCTCCGCTGAGATCCGGCAGCACAACTAGGATTTCAACCAGTGGGGGGGTTGTGTGGGTGTGTATGTGTGTGTGTGTGTGTGTGTGTGTGTGTGTGTGTGTGCGTGTAAATGTGTGTTAGAGAGAGATGCAAGACGCATCAAGTGACTTGGTGCCTCGGGGTCAGACACACACACATGCAGAGAAGGAGCTGGTGCTGCGGCGGGGTAAACAAGAGCAGACTGTTAGATCTCATCAGCCTCATCACACGCTTTATTATGCTGATTTGGGAGTATACTGTAAACTAATCAGAAATCCAGGAGTCACAGGGGGGCACTCGGCTTAAAGGTTAGGCGTATAGAGAGAGAGGAAAACTTGCACTGCCTCAGAGTTCTTAACTTTTGTATCTTCTTATTTCCTTCTTTCGCTCGCCAAGGCTCCCCCACTACCTCAATACAGGAAGAAGTTGTGGCTGAAAGGTTAT